TCATTTACAAATAAATAAAACCTTGAGTAAAGTGCAGTTCTCTAAGACAAGTCGAATAAGGCACAAGATGTACATTGCAACATGCAACATGACACAAAAGCTATGTTTTGATGGTACAGGATCACTGGAGTAGTTTCCTCATGAGGTCATTTAGTGATTGTAGATTTAAGCAAGCCATTGCATAATAACACACACACACACACACACACACACACACACATATATATTTAAGCAAGCATTTATGTAATTCATAAATGGGAACATTTAGACAGTGACAATAAAATGAGCAAGACGCCAAACAGGATGGAAGCTAACAGGATGTAAATAAAGCCTCTAAATCAGTAATATTTTAGTATAATTAAGATACTATTATAGTGTTTTTTTTGTTTAATATATTTAATTATTTTTGTATTTCTGTTTTCATTTTAATTTTAGTTAAAGTTTTAATAATTTTGTTGTGTGTTGTTGTCATTTTAAAATATAATATTATCAAGATGAATTTGTTCTGACACAGTTTGACTCGGAGTTCTTGTCATATTTTATTACCATTTTCTAAACGATAGCAAATAAACTGTTATAATGTGTGAAATGTTGAAGGTGTCTGAATTAAATTTTGGTTTGATATTCTGTAGTTTCTACGTTCATATGCCAAAATCAAAACTTGATTTAAAATTATTAAATAATGTTTAATTATGTTTTCTTTTTTTTTCTTGTGCAATGTTCCTTGAAAATGCTTTAAGTCAAATGTGTTACTTCTTCACACGTTATAGACAACAAATAAAGTTTTTCTTCAAATGTGACGTTAATGTATTTTCTTGGATTGAAATATGTGGAGGGAAACATATATTTTTAAGTATAATATATATATATATATAGTAAATTATATTTAATTATGTCTATATATTTTTTATTTCATTTTTAGTTTGTTATTTTAGTACATCAATAAAAAACGAATTGGCAACTAGTTGAAATAAAACATTTTACTTTATTTAAAGTAAAGAAAACTAATTTATTTAGTTATCTATTTATGTATTTATTTATTTGATTATTTTTTAAACAAAAATGTTTTACATTTTAGTTAACTACAATAACTCTGCTTGAAAATGGAATGTTTTATATATATTTTTTTTATTTTATTTGTTTAGTTAACAGGGACATGCACATTAATAAAACATTTCTGTAAATGTACCAGAATTAGCCAAAGGCTATTTTTCATCCGTAGTCCCTGGACAGAATGTTACAATCACCCTAAAAAAAACCATGATTAGAATACATGCTAAAATATAGGATTTTATAGGCCTTTATTTATGGTGACCAGGTTGAAAATTTCAGCAAATTTCACTTCATGTAATTCCAGTTCAACTTCCTGTGCACAATTAATCTCTAATTCACACTTTGTGATTTATTTCCTAAAACCAGTTACAGCCAATTTTTCAATGGTCAATTAATATGATTTCCATTTTTTTAAAAATAGTAAGTTTAATATTTTATTTAATGTATTTTAATCTTTTATTCAATATGTACAATATGAATGGGACATGAAAATGTAGTGCATAACAGGAATGGCCCATTTTCAAATGAACCTAAATCAGCCACTCACTCACCCAGCAGGATGATGTCATTGTAAGGAAGCGAACGTCGTGCCACCCCTAAGATGAGGTGCTCAGCGGAGTGAGCTCTTAACAGTGCCACCTGCACACACACACACACACGCACGCACGCACACACACACACACACACACCCAAACACAACACACACACACACACACACACACACACACACACACACACACACACACACACACACACACACACTCAGTGCCTGCTACAGACAGGAAGTGACAGTTCATGATCAAACAAACACCCAGGAACAGGCCTACCCTGTCATCCACTGACAGCTCACAGAATTCAGGGATGCGCTTTGCCCATTCCACTAGGAGGAGGAGCTGCTGTTTCATGGATTCACACACATCACTCACGCCAGCTATCTTCTTGGTTTTGATGTCCCTCATGGGATTCTGGGAGGGGTTCTGTAGACGGCAGAATGACTCTGAGCTTGATATAACAGAGTAGTTTAGTTACATTTGCATTTATGCATTTCCCAGACGCCTTTATCCAAAGCGACTTACAGTAGAGGAACATATGCAATTGACCCTTCGCAAAGACCCATCCCCTTTAGTTACTGTTGCTATGTCCGACAAACCATGGCGCTCTCACACCACACATCATGTTCTCAAGCAGTGAAAAATACATCACAGAGCAAAGAAGAAACTGACAACGTGCCGATAGACAAGACAGAGCAGGTTACTTTCGGTATGAAACAAAGTCTCAGCTTTCAAATTTTGTAATTTTTCAAAGAAATTCAAACAATAAAACCCGTTTTGTGGCTCTTTAATGTGTGGTGACAGATCGCTGTCGCACCTTTCCACCAGATGAGGGTGAAGGTTTTTGGAAAGTGACTTTGTGCCTTGTTGTGAAGGAACAAGTTGAAGGTGAAACTGAACCAGCCTAAAAAAAATATTTTTATAAAGTGATTTGAGCTCAAGAAGCAAAATGCATGAGGCAAAGCTGTGGTTCTGATGTGGTTTGGATATTTAATGTAATATCCAAGACTTTAAGGTTCTTCAGAAAACAGTCGCTGAAGGGTGAATTAAAAATAAATATCTTGATTTTCAGTTCTGTCATGACAGCTCTCGGAGGGATTGGCATGGTAATGTACATGACAATGTTAATGTATTTGGTCTTGGCGGAATAGATCTGCTACGCTGCTGCTGAGACTTGCTACTGCCAATACATCCACAACATGCTGCTGTAATCATGTAAGAAATACTGCCGCTGCACATATAACACATATGAATAACCCCCATATAGCATACATAAATCACCCCGCAGCAGATCTATACAGGTGGAGCTGGGGAAGGTGGAGGGTTTCTGAAGTGCGCTGCCAACTGCTACAGCAAACAAAAGCTAGGTATTTGAATATTGAGCAGCGAGCTCATTGGCTACCGATACAGGAGAGAACCAATCAGCTGCCATGTGACAATGATGTCACCAGGTCAGATTGAGCTAGACCTATCGGACGGCGCCATCTAGAGTTTCATGCCAGAACTCTGTATTTGTTCATTTTCATGCTTGTTTTGTCTTATTTTAACCCTTGTGCAGTGCTGAAAATCCCAACCTCATTGTGTTCCTGATCAGAAATGACCGTCCTCCTTGTAAATCTCTCATTCTGCTATATTATAACCAAATCCCGCATTCAACCTTGTTTTCTTTCAATTAGCACAGGTTTTGGAAAATTTTGTCAATGTTCACTGAAAATCTGAGGTGCATAAGTTCAGATCAATGAGGCCTATGATCAATCAGTTCCAAAAAGAAATGCAAAACGTGCTAATTGAAAGAAAACAAGTTGATAAAAAGATGGAATCCAGGATTTGGTAATAATATAGCATAACAAGAAAATTATTATCTGTAGGCTGGCCATTTTTGACGGGGAACACTGGGAAAAAAATCCCCAAAATTACAAAATATTATTGATTTCTTCTTCTTCTTCTTCTTTTATATTATAGAGGTTGTTATACCCTGTGTTATACCCTATATACTTTCTGGGAAAAAGATAACAAGAAAAGCAAGTTCAGCAGAAAGCTTACCTGATGAGTGCAAGCCTCAGCCTGCATCAGCACATCAATGGTGAGAGTCCCAACGCCTTGACCTTCTCTACGACAGCTGATGCGGTCACGCTCATTCTGAACAGCTAAGAGACAAAGAAAGATCGGTGAAAAATAATATCAATTTACCTAATGTGTTTCCTTATAGAAAACAGATAGCAATGTAGCCAGTGGATGCAAAAAAAAAAAATATATATATATATATATTGTAAATATTAGACTTTCTAGTGCCAAAGTGCACTTGTAGCTATCTTCAAATCTTAAAAGCATTGTTTAAAAAAAACTTGTACTTGCAGATAATATAATATAGATGAAAAAAGGCCACTTAAGTGTACTTGAAGGGAATACAGGCTATGTGAGATTTAACATTCATGACTATGTTTCTTAACACACTTAAGGACAATTTTAAAAAGTAATAATGTCAAATTAAAAGATTTACTTTAAAGTTCCTTTTATATAATTGTTTTAATAATATTTTGTTGTGCTTTAAAGAAGTAGCTGACTAGCATACTAAAGCACATATGAAGTATGTTAGAATTTTAACTGCAGTGTGTTATTTGATATTACATTTAAGATTAATATATTTTAAATGCATTGACTTGCAGTTTCATCACTACAAATGTGTAATTACAAGTCTATTTAAATACATGACTTAAAAGTTTAAATAGAAATGACATTAATTAAAGTTTATTTTAGTTTACCATGAATGCTTGTCAGTACATTCAGCAGTACACTTTAACCATATTTAAAAGACAATATAAATAATTATGACATTATGATATACTTAAGTGCTACTTAAGTGGACCAAAACATTCAACTGTAATATAATAAAATTTAGACTATAATACATTTTCATTTAATTGCCATTAAGATGCGATTAAGTGTCTTAGAACATTACATTCAGTTCACACTGAAAAACAGCCCTGCCCAATACAAAAAGAGCATAAAGTGGAAATAAGTACAATTTATGTGGACCAACCTGAGACACCCTGCAACATTTTCAACCAAATAATTGTAAGGCAGCATTCTATTGAGTCTTAGAGTTTCGCTGACAAGTGAAAAAGCTACAGGTGCATCTTCCTCAACGAAGAAAATTACTTTTAGCACTTTAGAGAGACATTGGCACACCTGGGTCTCATTGTGGCATTATTATTCACTCAGCATTGCTGTATATCTGGAGCTGTGTTACTTATTACATGGACACAGCTTCATCCTACTGAAAGCACAAGCTCTATTCCATAGATGGAAAGGACACTGTGAAACTTGGCATCTTTAAAATGATATTTGACAAGATGTCTTAGACTCATGGCTCAGAACAATACCTATATAAAGTTGTAAGCAATGGCCCAGATACTTTTATATTGTTCCCCTTCTAGGGAACTCGCGCTGCGTCATCTAGTGCAGTGTTTCCCAACCGGGGTGCCGTCTGTCGAGAGCAGGGGTGCCGTGTAAAAAATCATTTTTTTATATTTTTAAATTGCTAAAATGTTCAAAAAAGCATCTATTATATAATATCAATTTCTGATGTCGCCAATAATTAGAGATGCACCGAAATTTCGGCTGCCGAAAATTAGTTCACCGCTCAGGTTTCACTTTCACGTGGTGTGACGCTCTGTGTATTATCCCGCTCTATGCATGTGCGCTCCGCTCAGTCGCTCCACTCGTATACCGTTCATGCGAATCGGAACAGCAAAGTCCACTCAAAAATTGAGCCGACAGGAAACATCGATGTAGTACAGTATTGTTTCTGTCTGCAAAAGCCCTACTGTGTTGTAACATGGTGTGGTATATGGGCAACTCTGGTAACGCTGCCCTCTCATTCATTGATCTGCTAACCGCTATGTTATGCTCGCGTGTATTCTGCAGTTCTTCCCTGTTGTACCGAATATCTATACTTTTCAAATTATCATATCAAAGTTAGAAATTCAAATACTGTGACAAAATTTATTTTGTAGGGTGCCACAAGTTTGTTAAAATGTCCAAAGGGTGCTGCGACTAAAAATAGGTTGGGAAACACTGATCTAGCGGACACTATGGGGACTGCCGCCAGCAGGGCCGGTGTCTGAAGCATGTGTGAAACAACACCAATCACATTGGCTCACGTAGCCCGTGCCGTCACAGGCGGGCACAACTTTTGTTGTCTTCAGGAACCGTTTGTTTGACAGTGAGTGTGAAGGTGTTATGGAGAAACCAAGGCAAGTGAGCTTTTTAGAAAGTGTGTGCCTCCGTGTCCGAGGTTTCTGACACCCGAGGATCCATGCGTTATATGTCTTGGTGAGGAGCACGTGCATTCTCATTTCCAATGAGAAAACTCCATTCGCGCTTGTCCCTCTTCTTGAGGGATGAGGGATAAACATCTGCGTCTCGCAGTTCGGGTCCCACTGCTGCTGAGGCACAGTGAAGACTCAGATTGTGGGGTTAGCAGGTTGAGGTTGTAGAAAAGTTTGAGAAGGCTATAAATCTTTCGAAAGCTTCCACTGCATGCTCAGGCACTCGGTGGGATCCAGACACTCTTTCTCTTGAGTTATTGGATCCAGAGGAATAGCGCTATATAGTGTTCATCTAGTGAGAGTGAGGGCGTGGATGTGGTTGGTGATGATGATGATAGTGTGAGCACTAAATCCTCCCAACCTAACCCCAGCCATGCATACGGGAGTAATGCTGGGAGTAATGGCATGCGCCACTAAGAAACTTGATTTAGCGGAGGAGGCACTTGCGAGCTTTCTCTCCCAGGGTGAGTCGTCTTCTTTAAGGACTCCTGCTCTGCCATCCAAACCACTTCAGACCACCTCGCGTCTGAATGGCAGGGCGTATGTGGTGGCAGGTCAAGCTGGTGGAGTCTTTCACACAATGGCTGTGTTTCAAGCTTACCTTGCTGTCTTGCTTAAAGACCTAGATGAGGGCAAGGGTTTGTCCCCTGAGGCAGTTGAGGAGCTGCGCCACATCACAGACTTGGCTTTTCAAACCATTAAGCAGACTGCTGCTGCCATTGGGTGTGCAATGGCAGCAATGGTGGCTACGGAGTGGTATTTGTGGTTAAATCTCGTGGATATCGGGAGGAAGGAGAAAGCCTTTCTTCTTGATGCTTCTTGATGTCACCTTCCGGGCTTTTCAGCACCTCCGCTGAGGCAGTGGTCGAGAAGTTCAGGGAGGTGAAGGTGCAGTCATGGCTAAGTGGGCATTCCGTTTCCCATAGTGTCCGCTAGAGCACGCAGCGCGAGTTCCCTAGAAGGTGAACGTCTCGGGTTATGCATGTAACCATGGTTCCCTGAGATGGAACGAGATGCTGTGTCCCCGCGACATGCCTAGGGCTTGCCTGTTTTCACATCTCCTTCAGATGAGTATATTACATTTTATATGACGGTTTTGGGAATTGCCTTATTGTAATAGTATGAGTTCACCCAGTTGTTCAATATCTTTTATTCAGAGAGAGTTGCAGACATTCATAAGTATTGGGATATGTCCAATAACTCAATTAGTTTATATGCAGGCCTAGTCCATATCCGTGACCTTGAAGAAACTCTTTAAACTCTGAATCATAAACTAAAATTAAATGGGCTCATGCGTTCACCTTCTTTCCTCATGCCGGCTCTGAAGCACTTTCGAAGTCTGCAGTATCGACATTGGTTTCTTTTGTCTTTGTCCACCACACACTGCCTGCTGAACCTTCACACACAGAGACAGAAGTACACAGGCTACTATAATTCTCACATTTGAAGAGATCCAATGAAACACTTCAGGTCATGCTCTTACACGTTCTGACGACGGTGGTCTCAGATCACAGATTACTTTTTTAGAGGACACAGACACTGTGATCATTTATAGATGGGCTACTGCCACAAAGACAATGTGTTTATCAACCAAATCCAGTGGAAATGTGAAATAACTTTTCTGTTGTTTTCAGCTGAGCTGTGATGTTGTATATGTAGAATACAAATTTATATTGGTTGCATTTCAAACATGAATTATTAATAATATTATAAAAATACATATAAATATAAAAAATGCTAACTGTATTTTGTAAATGATATAATGTGCATGATAAAATGTAAATAGTTTTTTATGTAATGTTGATTTTTTTCTTTTATTTTTTATGATATTTTAGTATTATTTATATACTATTATAGTTTTTATTAATGTTTTGAATTAGCTTTTATTTTTATATTTTAAGTTTTCATCTTAATTCTAGTTTTATTTTTAGTATTTGTGCTATGTGCTTTTCTCATTTCTATTAGGTTTTTTTTCAGTTTTATTTTTTATTTATTTCCAATTTGTAATTTTAGTGCTTCATCTTTAATTTCAATTAGTCGCCAAGGCAAAATTACCATTTTTTATTTTTTCTCTTCTAATACTTATATTTTATTTTATTTCAGCTTTATTTAAACTAACAAAAATATTTTATCTTGTATTTTGCATCCTATAATTCTGTTACTGTTACTTTAAATTCCAATGTTTCATTCATTGCCAGTGTTTATGGGACCCTTTCATTGTGATTTCAATGAGTATTAATTAACAAACAGTATCTGTAAAGTAATTCATGAATTTTAAAACCCTTCTATATTGTTTACCGCTCTTACTGCTTTGTCTAACCACAATTCATAGAGGCCACATAAGCATGTTTAGAAATGAATTAAAAAGGAATTGTAAGTATGTTAAGCACATATAGTGGAGAGATGTGAATCTGATGGTGAGTTCTCACCTGCATGTGTAGGCATGGTTCTTGCGCACACTCCTTCTGAAGAAGCCCTTGCAGCCATCGCAGCTGGACGCACCGTAATGTTTCCCCGTAGCTCTGTCTGCACAGATAGCGCAGAGATTCACACTGCTCTGCTGCGGCGCAGCCACTGGTACTGATGCAGGCACGTAGCATGGTATTAGTGGCTCTTCATTGGAAAAAGAGTGACATAACAGAATTTGACATCTGTAGCATCACTTTTTTTTACATTTTTGAAAGAAGTCTCTTATGCTCACTAAGGCTGCATTTATTTGATCAAAAAATATAGAGTAAAAACAGAAATATTGTGAAATATTATTACTAATTCAAATAGCTGTTTTCTATTTTAATGTGTTTTAAAATGTGATTTAGTGATACAAAGCTGAATTTTCTGCAGTCATTACTTCAGTCTTCAGTGTCACACGATCCTTCAGAAATCATTCTAATATGCTTATTTGGAGCTCAAGAAACATTTCTTATTATCATCACAGTTGTTGCTTAATATTTTTGAGGAAGCTTTGATACTTTTTGTTCAGGATTCTTTGATGAATAGAAAGTTCAAAAGAACAGCTTTTAAAATATCAAAATATCTTTTGCAACATTATAAGTCTTTACTGTCACTTTTGAATTTATATCATTTTCAATTTCCTCCAGTGAAAAAGTCCATCCCCTGGTGTCCTCTCACATCAAAATCCACCCACATATTTGTTTAGATCTGTCTTGGACTGATCTGTGAATAATTCTCTCCGGATTCAGATTAAATGACTTTTTCACTGGAGATAGCAATATTATGGACAGGAAGCAATGGTTTGAAGTTAAAAATGTCTTGATGTTTTTTTTTTTTTTTTCGTAAAAACATGTGATATTTTTATCAGCTGTTTGGACTCTCATTCTGAGGATCCATTGGTGAGCAAGTGATGTAATGCTACATTTCTCCAAATCTGTTCTGATGAAGAAGCAAACCCATCTACATCTTGGATGTTTTGTGAGCGAGTAAAATTTCAGCAAATTTTCATTTTTGGGTGAACTGTTTAGGACAATAAAACTGAATTTATCTGAACTTTAGCTGCTTTACTATACTTTTGGGTGAAGTTAACAATATATTTATTATTATTATTATTATATATTTTTTTTACATAAAATACAATTGAGAAAAAATTAACATCAGTGCCCCTGATCCATGACGTAAACGATTGCAATTCTAACTGAGCGGAGGAAATGTGTCCAATCACCTAGTGGATTATCCGCCCGGCGTCTGTATTAATTATTTATTATCCGAGTGTCTGTATTTATTACTTTGCGAAAGAGAAACTCCATTTAATTAAACAGGTCAGTGAAAAGACTCTACTGCTATTTCCCAGGTAATTTCGCAGTGTTAGCTAAAATTGAATTCAATTCCCTCATGTGTTGCATTAAATTGCGCACAGAATTTGATTGCCACCAGTTTGCATCCCAAGCCAGTGAACGCCACATCTTCAGGAATAAAGCCTAATGTATGCAGATAATACACTCAGCACTTTAAAGCCACTCAGAGAGGTAATATGCTCTAACATACAGAACGCCTCTGGGTTCAAAGGGCAGTTATATTATATTAAGAGTTTACAATGCTTCTGGCACCCACGCATGTGTGCTTTGGTAAGATGGATCCAGTATGTCTGAATCAGCAGCGCTTCTAATGATTAAAGAAAATGAGATTATAATGGAAAGCAGGAACAGGATGAAGTGGTGGCTTTTGAAAAGTCCTCTTATGACCAGACAGTAATTGAAATAGCAGCATCTAATGTCATTGTGAAGTTACCTTGTAGTGCCCTGCTCTGTGAGCGAATGGCCTAAATACTCAAGTATGGAAGAGTTTAACAATGAGAGTGGTTAAACACATGCTCTACTTGGCTAGCACTGCAGTTCTCCATGTTCACTGGCAGCAGACATGCATACAAACTGCTGACAGACCGCCTTTAAACATTTATCTTTGTGTTTGTTTTAACTTGACCGTGCATGTAGTGTATATGCTACTCAAATGCAATATCAATCATATTCAAACAAGCCTCCACTGCTGAAAAGACCAACTTTGCTGGTCAACAGCATAAATTGTGTTTTGGAAGCTGGGCTGGAGAATGGGATGCTACTCGGTGGGATTGTTAACTAGGTCAATGATGGTACACTCATTTTTTGTTTTATCTATCAATTTATTTACATTTCATTTCAAGAATGTCAGGGTGAGACAAATGTCTCGATATTGTAATGAGGAAAATGAATGAATGAGGAATGAAAAGAATGAGGAAAAAGAATGACATTCTTATATATATATATATATATATTGATTATACCTTATAATAAAGTTTCATTTAACTTAACTACATTAAAGTTAACTACATTAGTTAATAGTTAACATGAACTACGATTGAACAATACTAATATATTTATATACTAAGACATTAACTTTTACTTATATATTTTTAAGATCAAAATTTGTTAATATTAGTTAATGCACTGTGAACTATCATAAAGTATGATCAAATTAATTTTTTATTCATTAACATTAACAAAGATTAGTAAGTGCTGTCAAATATATTGCTCACTTTTAGTTCATGTTCATGTTAGTTAGTACATGTTAACAAACGGGACCTTACTGTAAAGTGTTACCATTACTGGTATGGCTACTTTATTAGAAAAAAAGTTGGAATTTAAATAATTTTTATAACTTTAATCATTTTTTGCCGACAATCAAAATCACATGGTACAAACAACATGCAGAAAAAAATATATAAACAGAAAATGATGAACATTTTTGACAATTTACATCAAGGCATGATTAGATCAGGTAATGGGCAAAAATTATACTCAATAATAATTCATATATAAACTTTTTACCTTGGAAAATACATTTTTAGAGTCATTAAATGTAAATTTGAAATCATTTTAAAAACCATATGAAACCAACTTGAATACAAGAGAGATACATTTTTAAATGGTTTGTTCTTTTCTTTTTCATGGACGCACTTACTGTATAATCAGTGACCTAACTACCTTAACCAGCCACACTTTTTCGGTCAACCAGATTCATTAGAAAGATCATGTTGGTTTACATGGCTAAACTGGTTCACCAGCACTAACCAGCATTAAGTTCTCAGAACGTTGTCTAAAATTATGGCAAGGTTCTCTCAAAGTTATAAACAAATATTCTTCCAGTAACAATAATAGAATGTTTGTTTATATATTACTACTTGGTTCAGAATGTTAGAGAACATTTAAAAGTATGGCTGCCATAATGTTTGCAAAATGATAAAATGGAATGTTCCCTTAATATTCTTGAAAGTGTTTTTAAAACATTTTTAAAAAATTGCACGTTTGGGACGTTCAGAGAATGTTCGGAAATAATATTTTTATAATGTTAACAAAACATTCTTAGAACATATTTTTGTTAGCTGAGTAGGCCAGTTGATTTAAAAAGCAGTTTTTTTTTCAGCAGGATCTTCAAGCTTTGAACAACATCCATGAGTCTTGTTTTCAGAAATCATCACTGTATTTTTGCGTCAATAACTGAGTATTGAGTCAGTAGACCAAAGGTTAGACGTACCTGTTTGCACAGGGAGAACACGTAGACCGTCAAACTCCAGCATGGTGAATGTAGGGTCCAGGGTTATCCCATAGTCTGTTGCACTCAGGTCGAGTGAAGTCCCAGAGATCTTCATGGTAAAGTCAGGACTTGGCCTGTATCGGAGAATCAACAGCACACCGTAAAGCTCACCAGCGTTTCACTCAGCGGCCTATTGAGTCCATCCGAGCTTATCAGTGCGCTCTTGGATCTATCACTCTGCCGTTCCCTGTCAATGGACTTCAAATGGTGGAATCACGTAGAGATCGTTGTTCTGCCATAGGTTCCCTGCACCCAGGAACTGCAGCGGAGCTCTTTGATTTGCTGAAATACAGTAATTATTATCCAAGGCTCATCAGAGCTAGACTGATAGAGAGGCTGAGATTTTGCCAAATGTCTATGTGTTTGCTATTCTCTTATCAGTGCAGAGGGAATCATAAAGGGGAGGGATCTGGACCAGGTAAACATGACTCAGTCTTCAGTGGGAAATAACATCAAGCTCATATTTATTGTTCAGTAACTACAGCATAGCGTTGCTTTGTTGGTTGATTTGCTTTATCTCAGAGATGCACCTTAAGGCCTGAGGCAATGAGTAGCACCGAGGCCTACGGCAGGATCACACGGTTGTCCCAGACGTAGTGTTAATTATATAAGTCTGCGAGGCGTTTTGGTGGCTGAATGCCCATCTTCTTGCTTCAGGAGAACATTATTTTTGAACTTTGCCCTTTTGCTATCGGGTCAACAGTGCTATTGATCAAAGGCAGCATGATAACATGCTATTGCGTTACATTCCTGCTCTTTTGCCACATTCAAATTGTTTCACATTTCAAGTGATACAATAAGATCAACTTCAGCTCTTTCACCAGAGAATTGTATTAGCTATCAACACAATCAACAAGAACACTGCTGAGTGCCCCGCAAAACTATCTGGATATTTAAAGGTGCAGTCTGTAATTTTTTTGTTTATATTTATTTAGTTTTCTCCTGAATAGTACCAGTAGATTTGGACTTTATTCTTACATCTGTTGGTCTTATTCAATAGTTGCTGTCAGTGTTGCCAGGTGTTGCTAGAGAAATAAGCGGCCTGGTCTGAAAAAAACAAGCCCAAAATAAGCAACCTCTAGTTTTGGGTGGTGGGGCATATGCACATCATGTAATCTGCACGGGGAACCCCTATATGCACCCTTTTGAAAGGGATTTTGTTCAAGTTTTCTATAAAGTTCGGCCATTGTTTTTTTCATTCCTTGAACCATTTCTAGCACCTTTCAATAAAAGTCCAATTCCCTTGATATGTTATTTTAGGACCAAACAACCATCTCATCACTGAATTTAAAATGGTGATTTTATTGTCTTATTATTGTCATAAATCATAAGACATGTTAACGCCAACTGCTTTATTTTATTTTTTATTTTATTTTAATATATTTTATTAATAATTTAATTTAATTTAATTTAATTTAATTTCATTTCATTTCATTTAATGAATACAAATTTATTTATTTATTTATTCATTATTATTATTATTATAATTTTTTTTTAGCAACTTCTTGAAAAAAAAACAAGCCCAAAGTTGCTTATAATAAGCAGACTTGGCAACATTGCTTGCTGCCCCTTCACACCAAAACAGTTTCTTAATCTTTTGTTTTATTCCTTTTTTTTCAGTCTTATGCTACACACATGCACATTTTTGGGTCAAATCTCAACAATATGCAGCAGCTGTGGCCATTGAATATTCATGCTTTGTGCTCTGTGTTGCAGCATTGAGTTTGTAATATGTGTATTATGTTTGTTATATTTTTTGGTTTTCTTTTTCTTTTTTTCTTTTGTTTTTGTTTAGATGTACTTTTATGTTTTTTTCTTTTGTTTTGTTTTTTGAAGCTCCTTGACTACTGTTGCTGGTCAGTTGCATGACATGGCTGGACCCTTTTCACAAACTGTGATGATGCAGTTATTAATATCTTATATATAGCAACTTTTCTTATATATTCATTAAAAAAAAATAATGTACATTTATAACACTATGTGTTTTCTCACTTTGGCATTGCATAAAATTAGTTAACTCTGCTGTGTGAGTGTTTCTAACACAATAGCTGAGGGAGTGACGGCAAATATGACGTCTATCTCTCTTTTCACAAACATAATCAATCTCTCCATATTTTTTCCTCTTTTAGAAAGTCATAAATACACCATTGGTGGATTTGTTTCTTTTGGTATTGGTGCAGCTGAGAAAACAAAAATATATATGTTGTTGTTTCAGTAATTTGGTTCTGTAATTCTAGATGAACGTTGTCAGAACATTACTGAATCTATTTGTGTAAATCATAAAGCAGTGATTTCTGAATAGTGTGATAGTATATGCTATTCAAAATTGCAAGACATTTTTTTAATTAATGACTTTTATATTTCTTTTCTTTTTTTGTGATATTGTGCTCTATACAATATCTTCCCTAAGAATAACCCAGGGATATTTCTATTCAGTCCCTTCACAAAATGATAACAATTCCTCATTGATGATAGCTTACAACAAATATATTACATACATTTTAAAAATATTTATGTCTTTCTTATTCCCCTATTCAAAATAACTATTTAACAGATTATGAAATAAAAATAAAAAGGAGTACGACTGAATGTAGTCATTTTATTTTTACAAATTATAACAAATGATATGTCAGGCTGTATATTATTATTATTGTTTTTTTAAAGAAAAAGATCCATCATGCTTTGCTGTAATGGGATTTCCTTGCTCCTTCTCTAAATGTCAGGCTAGGCCGTGGGTCAGACCTCCCCCAACACACACACACACACACACACAAACACACACACACGTTTAATTATTTTATTTGGATCCACAAGACAAGCAACAAAAAACGGAATCCAAATACCTTGGGAAGTCAGTTTTAGATGACTGATAGCTCCTAAAAACCTGTCAGTCACAGCACAGCTGATCAGTGTGCCATGGTCCCCAAGAAAGTTATTGCTGCTTCGTACTGAGAAAAAAATAAGGATTTCAGAACAGTTGGATTTCTAGGTTATTTGCATGACTAATCAGATTTATTTATTTTTAATTATTAGTCCATTTTTGGTAATTCTGTTTATTTTATTTTATTTTTTTCCTGAAATGGTTTTTTGCATATGATCACTAGGTGGAGACAAAGTACAGAGTATACTTCAATACCACACTAACAGTTTTTTGAAGAGCACTTACAGAACAAATGCCAGACCTAAAACCATATGCAGCTCTTTATGGAGAAACATCACGAAACATGTCTTACCATTACAAGAAGAGAAGGTCTCCTGCAGATACCCAAGGTTCGGATTGCAGTGTTTTATTCTATGCCTTAAGTGACTAAAATAAGTGGCTCACCTGTCTTAAATCTGAATGCGTATACAGCCAGTGTAAGGCTCTGTCAATGCAGCAGAATTTACTCCTCACAGGTGCACTAGAGGCAGCTCTACCTGTCTGCATGTGTGGACTGAAGAGTGATTGATGGGCGAGAGCAGCTGTATTTCAGACTCAGTGCCTGTGCAGTATGGAAAGGTAAAATGTGGAGAGCAGCAAAATTGGACTTGGCTGTTGCTCAGTGCTGTCACAACCTTGCCTGTAATGCGGCTAGGGCTATTAACCAAACATAAATAAATGATGGCTCTGGTGCTTCATAGCAGCCTGGCATCTGAAACTCTTTCTTTTTCAAATCTTTTGTTTTGATAGAGTCAAATGAAGTTATGCTTTTAAATAAATACACGCCAGGTCTGGGATATACACGCACACGCACACGCACACGCACTCACACACGCGCACACACACACACACACACACACACACACACACACACACACACACACACACACACGCGCACATGCACACACACACACACTATAGAATTCTGCACAAGCCATAACTTGAATAATGCACATTTATATTTTACATGTATGTAAATGTGCAAAAATGTGCAGAATTTTTTCTATCTATCTATCTATCTATCTATCTATCTATCTATCTATCTATATAAAGTATATATATGCACAGTACACACACACACACACACACACAAATCTCAGATTTATGCAAACCACTGGAATGAGCAGAGCTAGAGGTAATCAGGCAGTAGAAAGTATGATTGCACTGTGGAGATGTATCATATCCATGCTACATATTTCACACAGACCTCAGTTAATTCAGCAAAAGCAATAGCTGAAATAATACACTGTATCATTACTGGGGCAGTTTCCTAATGGGAAAAAATCTGAGTATAAAAATACATGACCAGGAGGTATAGAATGAGAATTACTTTGTGGTATACAGGAAGATGATACATTGCACCATCTAGACATTAAGCGCTGCACAATTGAATTATCAACAAAATTGAACCACTCCAAATATTCACTTTATTAGTTAGAGCATCAAGACTTTTAGTTGAAGGGACTTAATGGTTTTTGTGCTTTCCATTTGCTACCATTTCAGTAATGAAGCTGCAGATTTTTCAGACCAATCATGTTTTAATATCCACAGCAATCCCGACTGCACCTTACCATGAACGTGTGCACATGCTTATTGAATGTTAGTAGAAAATAATCTGCATTAGAATTAGAAGCCTGCATGCAAACTTCATGCAAAAAGTCTCTCTGACCTGTATGTTCCTTATTAGAAAAAAATAAGACATCTGTAGTTTAATTCCAAAAAACAGAGGGGGGATAAAAAAAGCAGCAAAAATGGGTTATAAACACATGGCAGTTGTATGATTTAGTGGAGCAATAAAGAATAGAAAGGTGGCTATTCATCATGGGAGCAAGCTCACCAGGAGAGGACCTGTCATGGACACCGCCAAGTCCAGGAGGCAGTTCAGAGCACATACTCCGAAAACGGGCTCGGACTGATGGCTTTTCCAGACATCTTCAGATGCAGACGAGCACGCTGAGCATTCAGCACTGTCCGCCATTTCTAAGCAGACTCAAGGGGAAGATTCCGAGCAGATGGACAAAAGAATAATATGCAAAGGCTGAAATATGCCATGAGCCGCATGAAGAAAAGGCCCTGCATACATCAATGGATTGATATGATGACTTGAGATTTGAAGAAGTAACATGTGATTAAAGTAATTACATTTGATTACATGAGACTTTCAGCAGTGATAATGAACCATAAGTACAGCCATAGATGATGTGCTGTAGTGCAAAGTATCTCACTGCATTGCTGAACTCATGAGGTGGAGGAATAACATTTAAATGGATATAAATATAAATGTAAAATACCTATAGATATATGTACATTTTTAATGTAAATATGTAGATTTTTTAGAAAGATAGATAGATAGATAGATAGACCTATATACTGTATGTACTATGATTAATATAATATAAATATGTATTTATATTTAAATAT